TTCCCACATTAGGATTTTTATCCAAATATTTACCTTCTACGTTTAATGGCGTTAAAATATGTAGCCTAAAGCATGACGTAAGTGTAGGGCTTTTAATTAAAAAAAGAATTATTCAAAAATATGCTGTGATTGCTGATATCTTAGGCCACAAAGAAGTGTGTGTTTACGTTTAATTATAATAGTATAGATTTAAAACTTAAATTTTACAACATTGCGTAACACCAGCCATTATAAATGTTATAAAATTACTGGTATGTTTTAATGGTTATATTTGTCGTTTCACTATTAACTCCTCATATTATTTACATGTAATATTATTTATTCCAGTAGCACAAAATAATTCAATATATCATGCAAGTTGAATCGAATCCAAAAGGTAGGTCGGAAGTTAGCCATAAATCGTATATGGAAGCGAATTTTCTATTTAGCCGCCCGCGTACAATGGGAGCTTTGAACAAAAGCTTAGTTACAATAAAAGCTATCGGCAAAGCGTGCCTTTCAATTGTTATTGTTTTCACAAAACGTAAACTTTTTCAATTTCAACTACTGATACGTGCACGTGTTTACATTAATCGAACGTTAAACACCTTTACTTTATTAACTAGTTATACCCGTGGGTTCATCCGCATGATAACAAATACAAAACCTTTAAACAATATAAAACCTTCATTTTATTGTTTACATTTGTCAATTGCAAATTACAGATACGGTAACCATAATAACCTTGCCTCCTTAATGTTGGCAGCTTGTAGTTTAAGGTCTCTTACCCACATGTATTTTTTTTTCAATTAATTTACCCACTAAGTTTAATAGCGTGAAAATATATAGCTGAAAACATGTCGGAGTGTAGGGCTTTTTATTAAAGAAATTCAAAAATGTGCTGTGATTACTGACATCCTACGCCACAAAGTAGTGTGGATTTACGCTTTATTATATCAATAGGTAAATAACTGTAAATTATAACATTATCTTGTAAGTTATAAAACGATTTATCTGTTTGACCCTGATCAGGATTTCTCACTTAGAATAGAACTCCTGATTCGTCGTACTTTGTATTAAGAAAGTAAGAATAATATTCTTTTATTGACTAGTAAGGGAATGAAATACTTAGTTTTATATCTGCCTTAATTTTCAAGGTTTCTTAAAAGTTATTTTTCTCAATAATCCTCAAAAGCAAAGATTATATTAAAGTTTTTAATTTAACAGTGGTAGAGCCCGCTTTAACATCTTCGCACGAATGGACCGACTCGCCCGGTGTTATACCTCGACCACACAGAAAACAGGCGTGAAGTGGGAGCAATTTCGCGTTTCGTCTGATGAGTGTGGTGGTGGAGGCCTAATTTTGGTTCCTTTTCCATTCTACTCTTTTCTTAAGAGGGACGGATGGGAAGGAAAAGTGGATTTGACGGTGGAGGAGACGCATAGGAAGAGGAGATATCCTCTTTATTTGCGTCTCCTTCCACCGTCGATTGAGGGTAGGCAACACATCTGCAATTGCGGATGTCTATGGGCGGCGGTCGCTACGCCAATTTGGCGGTTTCAAGTGGCCGCTTGCTCGTTTGCCACCTTGTAATATAAAATAAAAGTTTTTGCTTGATCTCATATCATACGAACATTCGTAATGAAAAATTCGTAAGGGAAAATTTGTTAACCCTATAAATTAAGATAATTTACAAAAGCATTGGTCTAATAAGATTCTTTAGCGTTGGCTTTATTTAATTCCAACAATTTGGTAAAAGTACAGGATAAAGTTATAAACTGTAGCGATATCGCAACAAAGTTGAGCAATAATGTCTTAATAGTCCTGGGAAATGCCTCCAGCTCGTTCGCGTTATTACTTTCATATTTATAAGTAAATAATTATTGCTCTTGTATCGTTACGACTTATGCAGTTAAATAACACATTAATTTTATTAATTCTAAGACGATTTTTTGGTTCTTTTAACAAATGCAAATGTTTTTAAAGGGAAAACTTAGCACATATTTTAAATAGCGCGTATTGAACATGAAATTCAATACAGTTAGAATAATAGACAGTAGAATAAAATACTATTAACGATTAATAATAATTTATTTCACAATAAACACAATGCGTCTAAAATATTAGCAATTACAAAGCTTACGTAGTCAGTGTCGACGGCTGCAGTTGTTAATGTATTTCTGGAGCGTTCTGCCTGCGACAGCTCATATCTAGCAGTAAGGCTCGCACCACATCCTCATTTATTGATCTTAATTTTTGATAGCTTCGGTTGTTTCGTGTTATTTTATTATCTAACTTGCACCACTCACAAGGATCTCTCGTTGGTTCTACCTTTTTAGGAACAGTTTTGTAATACTCGTTAAAATCATCTAAATTGAAATTAGACAGTTGGTCATCTCCCCCTACGACGGTATCGCAAAATCCTTGTCCCAACGCAATAGCGAGGAATACTACAGTTACTGCCATCTTTACACTGTTGAGAACAGATAGGCCTCGAATATGCTGGGACCTCGACTGTCCACGTTTATATACTGGAGTAGAGAATAAATCTGGTGACTTAATCGGATATTATTTAAATGAGCAATAATAAAACATTGTATAAAGATTAATGTATTATATTTGTATATTTTCGTTTATTGGTACATTCATACATATATGCGTATATAATAGACATACGTATTAGTTCATGAATAATATTTATCTATAGACTGTCAGATAGGATATGAATGAGTTAAAATTAAATTGCACGTAATCTTAAAAATAATTGAACCGATTATCTATTTTTCTAGCAAATGATCTTACACTATTTGCGCTTTGTTTTATTTTTTTAAAAACATTTATATATGTCAATATGCTGCCAATAAATTATCAGATGACTTCATACACAGAAATAAACATAACCGTTGAATATCAAATCTTTGCATCCCAATTTGTAAATTCAATCTTTACATAGTAACCAAAATCTCTGTTAAAAATTCCATATTTCTAATTCCAGTAATGTGCGAGCTTTTTGGTAAGGTACCCTTATTATTTAGATCGCGACATCTTCAAAATTATATAACACTAGCTGTTGCTCGCGACTTAGCCCGCGTTAAATTAAAAAATTATAGAAAATATAGCCTATGTTACTCACAGATAAATTACCTCTCTGATGGTGAAAGAATTTTTGAAATTGGTCCAGTAGTTTTTACGTGAATCAATACATACAACAATACAAATCTTTCCTCTTTATAATATTAGTACAGATTAAAATCGTACTAATCCCACGAGTTTCATTACGTGTATAAAATCATAGGAATTTGGGTTTACAATGAATATCATCAGTTTAAATATGTCTTCGTAGTATTGGATTCCAACCAGCTTTTTGTTTTTATTAAAACATGTTTCCGGTACGGGTTATATATTTAGTACCACGTTTTGGTGCCAAATATAAACGAATTATTAAATAATTTTGGATATAAATAATCCGTTTTTTTTTAAATAAATATTGAAACTTTTTAAAAAAGCGACCTCTTTTGGTTAATTCTGAGAATTAGTTGCAAAACTAATATCTGGAACAAAATATTTGCAATAGTTTCTTTTTAATCAACAGATGGCGCTTACATGAAAAACGAATCATTTTTGTAATCTTGTTCATATTGAATTATTAGTATATTATTTGATCAATTTTCCAAAAAAATGTTTTATTCTAAATTATTCGGAAATTTTAAATGCTCTACGATATTTAAAAAATGCCAAATACTCCGCCTGCTATGACTATGTTTTAAGATGTAGGGAAGATTATTAAAATAAAACCCGCCATCTATGGACATACAGATACATCATGAAAACGGTATTTGTCTACTCAACAAAAGCTTCGAACAGATCATAGATGGCGTAAGTATTGCATTTGGTTCTCGTTTATTTAAAATTTTATTACAAAATTGTATTGGTATTGGTACAATACACATATTTTAACCTAAAAAGGTTAAAAAAATAACAATGTTTTTATCAAGTTCGTAAAATTTCTATAATGTTCTACCCGAAGTTTTGTATGGGAAAAACATTTTAATGTATTCCGAAACTTTTTATTTAAAACGCATATTGATTTTCAAAAATGTACTAAACAACAATAAAGAATGAATTGAATTGAATCAAAGCAGATTTAGTCGGGAACCATTGTTATATCAAACAAGAACTATAATTACGAGTGTTGAATCTCATTCAGATCATGCTTTGATCTTCTCTAAACAATCACAAAATGCATTAGCAAGGAATCCTTTTAAGTCGTGTAATTATAGACAATGGCTTCATTACATTACATATTTGTGTTTGTTTCTTTTTAATAATATTGTAGTATAATTAAAAAGAATAAAGCAGAGAACAAAAAAAATATATTTATTTTAATACTACGGTATTTCTCTAGTTTAATATTAGGGCTGCTACCACGGTTTTATGAGTGCATATTCTGGTTTTATTTTGATATCGACGTCTTTATTGAAAAGTGAATAATATAAACAAGTCAATGGATTTCCTTAATTCGTTTTCTGGTCAAAGCTTACTCACTTGGTATCCCTAAATACGATTGAATGACATAATTTGTTGATATTGTTTAACCAATCTCAATCATTATTAAGGTTCGCCAACGTATAATCAAATATTTATAGAAGACAAACATTGGAGCAAAGTTCATCAAGCATTCCGACTATCGGACGGTCTGTGAAACTTCTCCACTTTGCAACCGATACAAATAGCGGTCAATTTACTTCGCCGCTAAATTTACCTCATAAGAAACGTTTTCCGGCCAAATGGAGGGACCGTAATAGATGCCCGTAATGGAGGCTCCCCATTTATTTGACTTATGCCAACTCAGCTCTTACATGAGCAAACTTACATCATCTAACTTTCATTTACTTAGTTCCTAACTTGGACAATTTATTTTATATCGAGAAAAACTTTTATGTGCTAGAATATACACGTTTTTTGACTTTCCAAACTTATATCTTTTGTTTTAACATGAAAATCTTAATATCCTTTACAGAACAAAAATCAAAGAAATTTCCTGTGCTGGTGTTCATACACGGCGACTCATTTGAATGGAGTTCGGGGAACCCATACGACGGCAGAATATTGGCCGCATACGGCAATATAATGGTTATAACTGTCAACTATCGTCTTGGAATACTAGGTAAGTAATAAGTATATCATAAACGTAAATTATAACCGTAGCTTCGAATGCTAAAACTATAAAAGACGCATTATCGTTGTCCTCAAATTTGTATCCTAAACAAGAACAATATTACTGTGACCTTATTCGTTGTGTTTATGAAATTCTTTGACATCTCAGACAATCTCAAACATCATACGTACTCAGAAGTATAGTTTTGAAACATTCCAACAGTCCTCGGCGGCTTTTCAAAACCAGGTCGACTTAGGGTCGAAGAAGGTCGTTAGAAGCGAGCCTACCATTTTTTTTATAACATAAGGTGGCAAACGAGCAAGCGGCCACTCGAATCCGCCAAAATGACGAAACGACCGCTGCTCATAGACATCCGCAATTGGAGATGCTTTGCCTACCCTTATCCGACGGAGGAGGAGACGCACATAAAGAGGATATTTCCCCTGCCTATGCATCTCCTCCACTGTCAAATCCACTTCCCTTTCCCATCCTCGCCTTATAAGAAAAGGACTTAAATTAGGTCTCCGGCACCACACTCATCAGACGAATCACGGAATTGCTTCCATTTCACGCCGGTCTTCTGTGTGGTCGTGGTATTACACCGGGCGTGCCGGGCCTGCAGTGCTAAGATTTTAAAGCGGGCACTACCACTGTAAAATTTTTCCATTTTCTTAAATGCCGGCAACGCATCTAGTTCCCCTAGTGTTGCGAATGTTCATAGGTGTCGTTGACTTCATCTATGTTCCCTCCGCTCGTTTAACCTCTTTTGTTATAAAAATTTCTCATTGATATTGTGAGATACTACAATTCTTTTAATAACTATTTTAACAGAATTCTAAAAAATCTATCTTGATGTCAACGAGTGATATTAAGTCATTTCCAGGCTTTGTAAAGCCAAGTCTGACAGAGCACGAGTACGGCAACAACGGCTTGCTGGACCAGCTGGCGGCGCTCAAGTGGATCAAGGATAATATTGAGGACCTGAGCGGTGACCCTGAATCCGTCACGCTGATGGGGCACGGCACCGGCGCCGCCTGCGTCAACTTCCTTATGTTATCGCCCATCTCTAACGGTATTGTGATTCATACTTGGTTAACTGCTACTTTCTGCTACTTCCAATAACTATTTCAAATCTTTCATTTGTTATCTAAGCTGTATGAATGAATAACGAATTGTGACATTTGTATTCATGTAACAAATTTCAAACAGTGAAAATTAAATATTCACAACTGCAACTAACATGAGTACGCTGATAGAATAGTTCACATTTCAAAAGAACGGTATGTTATAATTACTGACGGTGAAGGAAAACATCGTGATGCCTCCACATATCGGCGAAGAAATTCAAAGATACGCGTGAAGTCAACGGCACAGCGCGTTTGACTACGACCTAGTTAGGATTATACCCAACCGTCACCCCGCTCTGTCCCCACGTGAGAATAAAAAGTTTCATACGTCACACCTTTTAATCCCACTATCACCAATAAGGTGACAGATGGAACCGTTATGAAATAAAATACGATAGGCTCCGAACCGAGTGGGGACGTATAGTTAGCTGGTGATAATGATGATACTATAATTAGAATGTTTCCTCCAACAGCATTGTTCCACCGAGCTATACTGATGTCGGGGTCAGCGCTGTCCGACTGGGCGATGACGCGCGACCCCGCGCAGTACACGCTGCAGGTCGCGCAGGGTCTCGGCTGCAACCCCTCCTCCAAGCACATGATGAACTGCTTGCAGAACAAACCGTAAGTACAACACTATCTTAAAATCGTTTTTAAATCATTTTGCAAACAAAAAAGTAATTATTATAGGAAAATTGTTAAAAATAGGTATATGGTATCGGGGACTTATCTGTAGAACTATTCGAGATCTACAATTCCTTCATACATCATTTTTATATACCTCTAACGGTTTAGGCAGTATAATCCGAGAAAAGTATATTTTAGTGAATTTTTAACACCGGTGTCCAGAAATACGCTATTTATTAATGGATCCTAAATATTAGTAGTAATAAAATATAGCCTATGTTACTCACAGATAAATTACCTTTCTAATGGTGAAAGAATTTTTAAAATCGGCCCAGTACTTTTTATGTGCAACAAATACAAATTTAAATATAAATCTTTCCTATTATAATATTAGTACAGATATAGATTATCACTATGTTTTTCTTCGATGTAATTAAGTATGTCAAATAAACGGACTTATGACACCCGAATATCAAACACATTGGTAAATCTTTAGACCTTTGGATAAGGATGGGAATCTTTGGACCTGACACAAGTCCAAATAATCACCGTATTCATCAAAGAGATATAACATTTATTTCATCATATTCGTTTTTATAGTTCGATAGAATATGCTTTGTAACATCGTAACGTAACTATAAGAATCAGAGCTCGACATAAATTATGCATTAGCCGAACACTCCGCCTTCCTTTGTGATAAGATTTGTGAGACATTACAGCTACGTATAAATTTTGGATGTACATAATTTGTTCATTGTATCTGAGAAAAAAAATATTCTACTCTATCTCATTTAGAAGTCTTTAAAGTTAAGGAGAAATAATTATAAGATGAAAACAGTCAACCCAATCGTCAGTGTCATGTCCTAAGTATTTTTAACTTAGGGCTGGTTCAAACTTGAGTGTTCCCGTGACCCAGCCATCGGCGGACAGGAGGAACACCGCTGGGTTTTTAGTGGGTGTTCCGGCCACGTCTGTTCTTTTTGGCCGGCGAGTCCCACATATCCCCGCTCTGGCAACGGGGGGGATGCGTAAAGGCATTTTCCCAGCGAAAAAAAAAATGCTGGTTCAAACTTGGCTGGGAAGTAGACTGAGTGCAGCTCCATCTATTTATTTTTGTTATACACATCACCAATGTTGAATTATATTTGAATAGTTTTCTTTGACAAGACTTTGTTTCAGTTTGTCGGATATAAAGAAAGTCCAAATCCTGGCTCGAGAATTCGAAACGCCTCTCGGTCCGACCGTCGCCGGATATTTCGTGCCCAATGAGCCGGAGAAAACAATGGAATCATTTCCCAATTTACTAAGCAAGTGAGAATTATTACTTTTTCTTCGTTGTTTCATTTTAATAATACGCAGCGGTCGGAATTAATTTTACCAAGAAGTTTTCTCTTAGTTTAAAAATGTTATTATAATGGCATGTTTGTATAAAGATTTAAATATTAAAATTAAATGGCATTCTAAATTCGAAATAGAAATAATCCAATAATTCCAAATATACTTTTTCAGATATCAGTTACTAAGTGGTGTAACGGAATTAGAGAGCTACCATGACTTTGGAGTCATAGAATTAGACTCTGGAATTTTAGAAAATCAAAGAGATGATTTTATAAAGAAATACATGAAAGTTACTTTCGAAGGCGCTGAAGAAGATGCAGTTAAAGATATACTGAAACAGTAAGTGGTATTTTATATTACGAGCGGATTGCTTAATTCAATTCCGAAGGTAGATCATAGACAACGAGGTAATAGGTTAATTATCCTCCATTGTGGGTGTGGATATGTCGGACATAATTAAATAACAATTGCGTAACATCAGAAACCCTTCAGTATTTAGTGAAAACTGCACCAGATTGCAAAGATTTACAGAGAATCACCAATTCACTTTATACGTCCGCACAACAGAAGCGCATTGCTCGACCGTCTAATGACAGCTGACTATCTTTGTTCGCCGCCATGACATTTATTCGGGGTTGCCCGTTCAAAAAAACTACTACCAATTCAAAACACTTTCAAATGTGGTCAGCACTCAAAATTATTATTTCATAATAATTTTAATTCTACGAATTAATAATCACTTCGCATCATTACATTTATTACTAACTAGATTACACCCGCGACTCGGTCCGCGTGGAATTAAAAGAAAAAAGTTAGTAGGTTATGTGTTCTTCCAGACTATCCTCTACAGCTACACCAAATTTCATCAAAATCCGTTCAGCTTTTTACACTACAAACTCCATCCATCTTTCTTTTTAACTTTCGCATTTATATTAGTTTGAAAGTATGATTATTAAGACAAAGTAAGTTGAAATCAAAAGTATATTTTCGTCTTTCGTGTAGATATTCCAGGTCAAAAGCGGACCCGCAACGCTGGAATGTGGACAGGAACCGTGACGTCATACTGGACTTGTTCAGCGACGCGAGAACTTTAGCTCCTATGATCAGTTTTGCGAATTACCAATCCAAAGCTAATCGACAATCCTACTTCTTTGTGTTTGGACACAATTCAATAAGTACTGAATACGCAGCGGTAAGTTACTATTTTAATATTGTCAGCATTAAGAACGGACGCATTTTGACTAAACAATCGGAAAACTGTTGTGATTGTCGATTGTTTCGCAGTCAACTGTTTAGTTGCACAACTAAACATCGAGTAGTGTACCTCCATATAAGCTCATAGGTATACGAGACAAAACAGTTGTGCGATAGTTTAGTCAAAGATGCACGCTCTAAAATGAAGGAGATTAAATTTTTGATAATCATCATCATCATCATCATCACCAGCTCACTATACGTCCCCACCGAGGGGCTCGGAGCCTACCCTAATACGGGGTGACTAGGCCATAGTAAACCACGCTGGCCGATGTTTTCCTTCACCGTAAGAACGTCGGGTAAATTATGTACATATGAAAATTCGTAAAACCGAAAATCACATTGGTACGGCGGGATTCGAACCCAAGACCTGTAGATTACAAGTCAAGTGTTCAAACCACTGAGCCACCGACGCTCCGTTTGGTAATCAGTTACCTATAAAAAAAAGGTTCTATGATAAGGTATTTAAAGGGTAATTGTCTCTATTTCTACCATAAATAATTATCTGTTTTACAAAGTATTTGACATTCCACGTCTTTACAGAGGTAAATTTAAGCACACTAATATTATAAATATGAAAGTTTAGATGGATGGATGTTTGTTAAAATTTGTAGCCTAAACGGCTGAATGGATCTCAGATGACATTTGGCATAGACGTAGAGGATAGTCTTGAAGAACACATAGGCTACTCATATTTGTTTTTTTATTCCACGCGGACGGAATCGCGGGTGAAAGCTACTTAGAAAAAATGTGAGAAAACCTACCACTTAATGTCGATAGTTCACTTCATGTTACCTTTTCACCTCATTAAATGAACAAATTAAAAAAGATGCTCAAACTTGTAAATCATATATTTATTAATTCGTCATTAAAATATCAATTTCACGTCAGTTTATAGTCCACTTGAATTAATCAGTTCATCTCGAGAGCGCCATTAACCTGATTAATATTTATATCTATTGAAAATATTTATGAATACTTTCATTAGTAGAAAATATCCGCAATTCATATTTATTTCGAAATATATTTTTCAAATATTTACACCACATTTAATCATGCCTACTTGTTTTGTTTCATTTGCCCGTTTTAAATTAAAAGCTAGATTTTTTTAGATTACTTTTTAAATTCAACATATTTAAAAGTTAATTTTTAAATAAATTAATAAATAAAACATTATTTTTTGACCAAAAAATCACAAAAAAAAACAAAATTCACAAAACATATTAATGAAAAAAAATCTTGACCAAAAGGATAAGGCTCAGCTGATGCGGTCTCCAAATTGTCACTGAAGACCGCGCTGGTTTTCAGCCGCCCCTTAATTACTATTACATAGTTAAGTTCAGATTAAGTATATGATACAGGGGTAGTTGAGATATAAGCCATCATTGCACTTGTGTGTATTGTTGTGTAAGCTTTTGTGCGTTTGTGTGTGCGATGAAGAAAATAAACATATTAGGACATATATAATATACATACATACATACATAGTGTTTTCATTTTAAAAGAATAAAACCAATACTTATATAGTCATTTGTAGGACCTCTTTTAGTCAATATTTATTTTGTCGAGTTTAATGTTGTTTTAATAAACAACACAATATAGACAATAAAGTATATTTTTATGATGTAAAAGTAACTTATCTTTTGTAAATGATATTTCAGCTAAACAAGAGCGTTCACGGAGAAGAAATGCCGTACGTCCTGGGAATCCCGCTCGGAGGAGCCAACTCACATTTCCACACTGAGTACACTCCGCAGGAGAAGTTGCTTAGCGAGGTTGTTATGAGATTGTGGACCAACTTTGTTAAAAACGGGTAAATATTCAGAGACGTTTAGCAAAAAAAAAAATAACGTAGTTACTTGTAGAATTATAAATAGTAGAATATTTTGAGCAAAAAGTAATGAAAGCAACAAATAAGGTTATTTATTAATGTTATAAATGCGAACGTTTAGATGCGTAGATATTTGTTAGAGTTTGTAGCCTAAACTGCTAAACGGACCGTATAGTATGGAAGATGTAGGCTACATGTTTTTATTAATTCCACGCAGACGGAGTCGCGGACAAAAACTAGTTAATTTATATTTCTCAATTAAATACCTAACTGATCTGTCTCTAATTACACAGATCACCAAACACACAGAGCGTTAATGAATATTATTCTCTGGATCGAAAGCAATGGTTGCATTATAACGTTGAATGGCCGGAGTACACGGAAGCACAGCAGCCGTATTTAAAACTAGGTAATTTTCATTTTAAAGTACGTGAAATTTTACTAAATACCACAATTATTCTCTCAATTGCATGTATCCTCTTGTTATGTATTTACAGACATTCCACCTTCAATAAGCAGTTCGTACAGAAAAAACTTCACCAAATTTTGGCTAGAAACGTTACCCAACAAAGCAAGAAGATACGTCATCGACCCGTTGTTTGAGTACACACCGAAACCTACTACAGCGAAACCTAAAACTACCCATAGGATTATAGGTATCAGTACAATTTTAGAAATTAAAAACCAATTTAAGTGAGCCTTTGATTTTAATACTTTACTTTTTTTCAGATCCAATAAGAAAAATATGGTCACCACAAATAAGTAATCCGCCGTACTATTCCACTTCTTATGGTAAAATACGGCCGTTTTCTCAGCCGGAACACAGACCAGATACGAATATGATATATCGAGAAATACAGTCAATAAAAACGCCATCCAGGCCCATTCCACCCGGTCTAATGGAAAAAGTCACTCACAATACTTATTCGACGACCGCTAAGCCGACATTAAACAACATGCCCGTAAAAACTTCCAGCGCGACCGTAACTCTTATTGTTACATTGGGAATTCTTTTCTTAGCTGTTAATGTCGGAATATGTGCCGTGTTGTATTTCAAAAAGCGAAGAATTAGATTGCGTGAAAGGACATATGAAACAACTCGACATTCTCGAGCTGATATTGGTGAAGTCGATGTTATCGGACAAAAGTGTTCCAAAGACGACAAAAGTGCACTTCAAACGCTTAAAAACAGTTGTAGCGTTATCAAGACTATTGGTCTTAATAAAATGAGAGGCAGCACAAACAGTAAGAAAAATAAAAAGAAACCAGAACCTTGTAAAACTCCGAAATCCGATGATTCTGGAGGTTTCCGTGAAAGATTTCAATTAAGAAGACATTTGTCTACTAGTACTTTGGACGCGAATACTAAAGTTAGAGATTGGATAACCAACGAAGTTATGCATAGATGTTCTCCGAATATTCTAAGAAAATCTGAGGAATTTGATACTGGTAAAAGCATAAATGTTAGAATACCATTCACAAGATCTGAAGAATTACTATCAGATGGCAAAAAGAACAATAAAGATAGTTTAAATATAGGTGACAATGTCCCAACGAAGAATTTGTTGTCCAAAAATTACCGTACGGATAAAACTAAAACTTCAGAAAAAACTACGTCTACGTCTGCGTTAGGTTCACACTCGTCAATAGGTAGTAATAAACAGTCATCTGTTAGTAAACATACTGCAAAATCAAATGATTCACTAAAAAGTAAAGGAACTGAAAGTATCAAATCGAAAAAAGTTTCTGTAGCAATTGACGCTACTCCTGCCGCAAGGACAAGTTCTGTTTTAAAACAAGAACCTATAGAATTTTCTAAATCACTCGATTATACGATGGATGATACAAAACAAAATAAACTACAAAGATCAAAAACTGAAGGAGATTTCAAAGATGAAAGAAAGGAAAACGAAAATAAGACTTTTACTAATGTGGTTACACTATCATTAAAACAAGAAACGCCGCTAAAAATATCACATAAACATTCGTCGTCTGATCCCGTTACAGATGTAAACTACGAGTTATTGATGAGGGAGAAAATGAATTTGGGATCTAACATACTTGATATTCTACCTCCGGTTACGTTTAGAAACAACATAAACGTTACTTCAAAAGATGAAGTTCACTTAGAACCGTTATCACCTGAGGAATCGCTAATGATTATAAAAAGAAGAAATTTCCCGAAAGTCTTACCAGATTTTCCGAAAGCACAAAAAAGACTATCATTACAACCTACGAATCTGCAAACGTTTCGAAATTATCAAGGAAATTCAGAAAGTGTTTTTGAAAAACCAAAAGTACCGCCGCAACCACCTCCTCGTACTACAACATTAGAACGACGACTTGCATATCAAAATTCTAAGCCCTTCTCTTCTTTTGGTATAAAATCAAACACAAATTGTGATTCAAAACCATCACAAAATTATGAAAATATAGAATCCCTTTCATCATGTTACGATAACCTTAAAACTACGAAAAAATCCTTCGAAAGTACTTACGGTATAATTGAACACGCTGACCATAGACGGGAATACCCAAAAGTAATTATAGCTTCTAGTGATATTCCTAGTAATTCTGATAACAAAATTCTAATACAACCTTCTCATAGTCAAGTTGAAATATCCACCAATGTACCACGAGTTAGGTTACCCGATGATTTCCATTCTCACACAACTGGTTCTGTTAAATCATTCTCATCGACATATTCAGACGAAAATATTGAAGACGACGATGAATTTCTAGATGACCTCGCTGAAGATAAACTTATACAAGAATTAGTAGGAGGAGTGGAATCACCTACCAATTCAGTTACATTAGATTCCAAAGGACCAGAAACAGTATTCGAAAAAAGACTTGAAATTGTACCTGTGAAATTAAATACAGTACAGGTGATGCCTAAAGAAGATTACATTTGTGTGTCAGATTTCTTTCTACCCGGTATTAATGATACAGAGAGAACGGCACAAATTAAACCTAATTTTAGTTTAAACAAGCTTCAGCAACGTAGTGAAAGTATTAATAAGCCTATGGAAAAAGCTATTAAAGTGAAACAAAAAAAGACAATCAATCCGACTGTAATTTTAAACAAAACTTTAAAGGGTTGTAAAAGTGACAGTGTTAAAAATGAAACAAGTACAAAATTAGAACATTCAAATTCAGGATCTTCTAACGACACAGAGACAAGTACTGGCACTGTAAAGAAAGTTGATTTAAAATAACCTTTTACAAAACAAAAATTCTGCACTGTTAATATTCCTCAAGTATATAAAATGTTATCTGTACTTTTTTTTTCATAAGCGCTTGACTAAACTATCGCACAACTGTTTAGTCTCGCTTCCTATGAGCTTGTATGGAGGTATTCGATTTTTAGTTATGCAACTAAACAGTTGGTTGCGAAACAATCGACAATCGACAGTTGAGCGATAGTTTAGTCAAAGGTGTCAGCGTTTTTTGTACATTTATGACTAGAGATTTATTAAAGGTGATTATGTAATGCATTTATTAAATAAACACATTTATATTCCATTTCATTTACTATGTTTATCCTGTTTTTTTATAGTTCAGTTCAGTTTCTTGCCTACGGCACTCCCTTAGCGGATTAGGCCATGTAGGCTATAGATTTAGGAACTCAAGTGTCAAGAATTCCTTTTAATGAACGTTTTTATACTAATAGTGTAAAGAGGAAAGATTTGTATTTTTATATGCATGGAAATAACTCAAAAACTACTGGGCCGATTTCAAAAACTCTTTCACCATTAGAAATGTAATTTATCTGTGTGTAACATAGGCTATATCTTTTAATATTTTGTAACATCACGGGGACGAAGTCACGGGCAATAGCTCGTTAATTACACCCTTGGATTTTCAAAGTAAATATATTTTATTATTACATACGTTACATAATTAAGCTTCTTTATGTGATCATTTTATGTAACAGTATAAAACACAAAATTATGATACACATAAAAGCGATCGTAATAATTTATGGTTACAGCTTATCGTAAGGTTGTAAGCATGTTATGGTTCTTTCATTTTATATGTATTTAAGGTATAAAGTTACAACCATAGAAATTACACGCACATTTTTGGTATATCTTGTGTTAAGAGATAGAAGAGTGTATATGTAACAATAGATTTATAGGAGTTGCCAGTCTTCGATAGCATAATTTTTTAATCCCTAACCTAAAAAACATATTTTAGATCAGAGACTATGGTAAAATCTAAACTTACATAAAAATTTATATATAAATCTAAAATATAAAATATTGTTTAATCCTTGTCAACACTACAATTATGATTAAAAAAAAAAGTGATTAAACACAAAATAATGAGAAACGTAACTAATGAAATGAAAAAAAAGAAAAATAAATATTTAAAATTAGCGTTGCAATGCTGACTGGATTGGGTCCTCGCTCAGGTATAATTGCTGGATGCTCCTATTGAAGTACCAGCGCTGATCTTCGCGAGAACCCTTGGGATCACCCACACGTCAGTAGTAGCAGTGGATACGTAGAAATTATCACATACATATGAGTAAAAAATAAAATGAAAGAAAAAAATCGTACATAAACATGTTATGAAAAAAAAATGTATACAAAACTACAACACGGATTAAAAGAGTCATTATTGGAATAACACAAAAAAGAATGTGCGCATAATATGTCAACTGTTTTAAATATCATATCTATATTACAACATATATTCCTAATTTAAAAACAATAAACTAGTTAACTTAACTACAAAACAATTAAACTCAATTGTAACAATAAAAATCACGAAAGGTCAGTAATTGTAGACGTTATAAAAATATCAATTCACAGTAAAAACATTATCATAATTGCAAGAATATATTTGATATTACAGCTTTAAGACACGAAGTTAAAGTCGGAGGTAGAAGTGACAAATGGTTCACCGCTCTGTTAATTACGTTACAAATGTTATTTATGTGAGTGAGTCGTGTTGTCTGTCGCCGAGAACGGTTCCGGTAATAAATGCCGTGTTTTGTTGGAAGAAAATAAATAGGTCCGTAAGTATACAGTATTCGCAAAATAATTTTATCTAATTTAATAATTAATTTTACTGTATTATCAAATTTTTTTTTTATAACATAAGGTGGCAAACGAGCAAGCGGCCACCTGAATCCACCGAAATGGAAAGCGACCGCTGCCCATAGACATTTGCAATTGCAGATGCGTTGCCTACCCTTAATTGATGGAGGAGACGCACATTAAAAGGACATTTACCCTTCCCATGCGTCTCCTCTACCGTCAAATCCACTTTTCCTTCCCATCCTTTCTCTTAAGAAAAGGGTGGAAAGGGAAAGGGACTAAAATTACGCCTCCGGCACCACACTCATCAGACGAAACGCGGAATTACTTCCACTTCACGCCTGTTTTCTGTGTGGTCGTGGTATTACACCGGGCGAGCCGGCCAATTCGTGCGAAGATGTTAAAGCGGGCTCTACCACTGAAAATAATTTATTAGGTCACTTTTTAAAGATAAGTAGGATGTTTCTAGCTAAGCTAAACTTCAATTAGACCACGAAGAAAAAACAATAGTTTTCTAGTTTAATTTGAGATTAACACTTTGTCTTTCAAAACCAGTGACAAAGAAACGAGAATCACAAATCTGAATATCTTACATCTAAGAACGTGCACATCCCTGAAACCAAATTCGCTTTGATTCGTATGAGCTTATATGGAGGTGCGCATACTACTCGACATTTAGTTGTGCAACTAAACAGTTGAGTAGGCTGCGAAACAATCGACGGTCGCACAACAGTTGTGTGTTTAGTCAAAGTCAAAGTTCTGTCAGTGGTAGTGCCCGCTTTAACATCTTAGCACGAATAGGCCAGCACGCCCGTTGTAATACCACGACCACACAAAAGGCAGGCGTGAAATGGAAGCAATTCCGTGTTTCGTCTGATGAGTGTGGTGCCGGAAGCCTAATTTAAGTCCCTTACTCTTTACCACCCTTTTCTTATAAGGAAAGGAAGGGGAAGTGGATTTGACGGTGTAGGAAATGCATAAGAATGGAAAATATCCTCTTTATGTGCGTCTCCTCCTCCGTCGGATAAGCGTAGGCAACGCATCTGCAATTGCGGATGTCTATGGGCAGCGGTCGCTTGACCATTTTGGCGGCTTCATGTGGCCGCTTGCTTGTTATGTCATAAAAAAAGGTGGGAGTCCTTAGTCTAATTTCCACGATAGCGTCAGCAAAGAAAGAATTATAATTTAACTACTTAAATATTTATTGTAGAGGCAATGTTATCGCAGAGTTAAATATTATCAGTCTTGCAGCTATTATAAAAGTGGAAGGTTCAGTGCGAAGTCTGTACAAAAGTGTAAAGTTTGTGGCAGCGCGGCCGAGACGCTATGAGCATGCGGCGAGTAAGTTTTAATGATGCTCTTGAAAACTTAATATTGCGAAGATGAAGATAATTACGCGCCATTAAAATACAGCGACTTTTCTGAATATATTTTCATTTGACCTGAAGTTTTTTTTTCATCGTCGCAGTTTATACAGAATTTTGAACTATTAGAAGTAGGTCGAAATCCATACACTAAACTTTTAATAGATTAATTAGCTATATTACAGCTAAAATAACTTCTAAAGAACATGCACATAGATAAAATAGTTAAGTAAAAAACTCTTGTTTTCGGTCACATTGTTGCTGTTTTTTTTGGATACATTCCCATCAACACTTGTCACTCATAGCCGCATTGGCAACTAGGGAAATAACTACATTAGAGAAATTCATAAAAAAAACAAATGAAAGAAGTAACTTATAAACAACGTAAATATCCCCTTCTCTTACTCTGCAAGGAATGAAGACAGAAACAGGGATATTTTTTAATTAAGGAGTACAGTAATACCTGTAATTTTACTGCATTGAATTATTTATGATCTTAGAAATGTAAATCTAGTAAACAAATAACGTGAATAGTAGAAATTGTTAAAACTAGCTGAACAGGTTTGGGCAAGACTTTATCAGTCTCAACGGACATAAGAAATGAAATTTACGACAGCAAATTGCAGTTAGCGATTGGATAGAAGCCAAACGGTAAGTGCTGAATACTTTCCGTGTGATTTCTCGACGACTGCAGAAATTCAGGTAAGTTAACATTAAGTTGTTTTGGACTTTAAAATTGTCTAAATAATATTCTTTACTGTAGTATATCCAATTCAGAAAACAACATGCGAATAGCTACGTAAAAGATGTAATATTATTATCATGTATGTGACTGTAACTTTTCTTTTTTGAGAATGAACTGTCAAAACCTAAATCTACAATTAATCTACGGATTTTACGTGATTTTAAAAGCGACAATTTTTTTTTAATAGAAATCGAAAGAAAAAGTGGTATTTTTTCTTTTAATGCTTTATTTTTACTGGCTGGTTAGACTGCTTATGAAGCTGAATTTAAAAAAATGTTTTGCTTTCAATCAGAACTAAGAATTTACTCTTGAATATTTTTTTACTGTTCCACGAGACGATCTATGTATTACAAAAAAATATAATTTAAGACAATCCTTGTTTGCTTTTTCCCTCGCAACGGAGCTTATCTTGCATTGGCTTATTTGCAGTATCTCTTAGTGGGAGATTTAAATCTTAAGTTGTACGATCACGAAAAACCGCAGCGATTTTATAATTTTTTCCTTAATTTTTTTTTCGGCAATTTTTATAAAATTAGTTCGAACACCTCAGACTGGCTTCATTATTATTAGATTGATTCTAAAAATAACAGAAAACACTGTTATTATACTTCAATATGATATGTTTCAAGAGAAAATGAAATAAAAAAAAACAAAAGTATTTTTTTACCTGCTGTTACTCTAAAATAGAGAGATATTAAAGAATAATTTTCAACCAACGAAGACTGGGTTTAAAAATGAAATAAGACTTCAAAGAAAAGAACTTCAAAGTACTTTAGCACTGTTTTAAATATTTTATTATTTCACTTCATAATATTCTATTTACGGTAAAATTTGTTACCAAGAATGAAATGGCACTTTTATTATCTCGGATTTTAATAAAAGCATTAAAAAGTGGCGTTGCACTTATATAAAGAACTAATTTTTCCAACAATAAACTGAAAAACGATAAAACTTCTGTTTTATGAAGAAAAACATTCTCTAATTATTTCATACTTTATAATAAACAAATGAAAAACATAATAAACAACAAATTATAATGAATTTTATTCATAACTAGCTGTTGCCCGCGACTTCGTCCGCGTGGTATTAGAAAACATACGAACTATATAAATTACAAAAAGCTACGTATCCCTCGGGAACCGGACAT